AGTTGGCGGACAGATGGTCGTACGTTTTCCTGCAAAATGTCTTGATAAACTCTGGAATTCATTTTCCCATCAATGACAACAATCCATCCAGGCCCTGAGGCAGCAAAGCAGCCCCAAACCATGATGCTCCCTCCGCCATGTTTTACAGTGGGGATGAGGTTTTGATGTTGGTGTGCTGTGCCTTTTTTTCTCCACACATAGTGTTGTGTGTTCTTCCCAAACAACTCAATCTTGGTTTCATCTGTCCACAGTATATTTTGCCAGTAGTGCTGTGGAACATCCAGGTGCTCTTTTGCAAACTTCAAAAGTGCTGCAATATTCTTTTTGGACAGCAATGGCTTCCTCCGTGGTGTCCTCCCATGTACTCCATTCTTGTTGAATGTTTTCCTTATTGTAGATGTGTCAACAAAAATGTTAGCATGTGCCAGAGATTTCTGTAGGTCTTTAGCTGACACTCTGGGATTCTTCTTTACCTCATGCAGCATTCTGCGCTGTGCTCTTTCAGTCATTTTTACAGGACGACCACGCCTAGGGAGAGTAGCAACAGTGCTAAACTTTCTCCATTTGTAGACAGTCTGTCTTACCGTGGACACATGAACATCAAGGCTTTTGGAGATACTTTTGTAACCCTTTCCAGCTTCATGCAAGTCAACAATTCTTGATCATAGGTCTTCTGAGAGCTCTTTTCTGCGAGGCATGGTTCACATCAGACAGTGCTTCTTGAAACCAGTAAACCCAAAACAGGTGTGTGTTTTCTAAGGGCAGGACAGCTGTCAGCAACACATCCGATATCATCACACTGATTGGAGTCAAGGTTGGCTCACTCCTGGCTCCAATTAGCTCTGGGAGAAGTCATTAAGCTAGGGCCTCACATACTTTTTCCTCCCTGCACTGTGAATGTTTACATGTTATGTGCAATTAAACCATGGCAGCATCTAATATTTGTGTAGTATTATGTTCAGCAGACTGTGTTCTTCTATTGTTGTGACTTAGATGACGTTCAGAGCACATTTTATGCCCAATTCATGCAAAACTCCACGTAATCCCAAGGGGTTCACATACTTTTTCTTGCAACTGTATATACTGTGTATATATATATATATATATATAGCACATTCACATCAGTCCCTGCCATCAATGAGCTTACAATCTAAGGTTCCTAACTCACATTCATACACACACACACACAGGACAATTTTTTTTAGACAGGATCCAATTAACCTACCACAGGCACAGGGAGAACATGCAAGCTCCGTACAGGTAGTGCCTTGGTTGGGATTCAAACCGATGACCCTAGTGCTGCTAGGTGGAAGTGCTAACCAATTAGTCACCTGCTGTCCATGTTGGAATTATTAAAAATGATGATTGAGAGCAGCACAGTCTTAATTGGTATAAGACACAGTAAGGGCCAGTGCTACACTCTCCCTTCCTGCGCATAATGCCCCCCCTTAACCTACACCCCCCTGCCTGTATACACTGCCCCCCCTTCCTGCACACACTGCTGTCCTACTGCACATACTGTCCCCTTTTAACCCTACACCCACTTCCTGTTTACACTACCCCCCTTCCTGCACACACTGCCCCCCTTTCTGCACACAGTGTACCCTTTAACCCTACACCCCCTTCCTGCACACACTGCCCCCCCTTTCTGCACACAGTGTACCCTTTAACCCTACACCCCCTTCCTGTACACACTGCCCCTTCTTGCACACTCTGCCCCCCTTTAATGCTACACCCCCCTTAGTGCACACACTGCCCCCCCTCCTGCACAAACTGCCCACCGTTAATGCTTCACCCCCCCCCTTCCTGCACAAACTGTGCCATTAAATGCTACATCCCCCCAACTTCCTGCACACACTGCCCCCTTTAACCCTAAACCCCCTTCCTGCACACACTGCCCCCCTTGAACGCTACACCCCCCCCATCCTGCACACACTGTGCCCTTTAATGCTACACCCCCCTTCCTGCACTCACTGCCCCCCTTTACAATACACCCCCTTTCCCCCCTTCCTGCATACACTGTGCCCTTTACTCTACACCCCCCCTTCCTGTACACACTGCCCCCCTTTACCGCTACAACCCTGGCTTACACACTTGGCATTGTACAAACATGTCCACCATTATAGAAGCACCAAAGCCAATGGTCACGGAACTCCAGAGTGCCTGTGTGGTCTTGAACACCAGTAGCTGCCTTGTTTACTTCTATTTTTCTCTGCTCATCTTCCCCCCTGACAGCACATTCACCCTGTTGTCAGCTAGAACCGGAAGCTGCACCCATAGTTCTTGTGACACAGTCAGACCAGTTGCAGCAGCAGCGGCAGCATGTAAACATATACAGCAATGAGGAAAGCTGAACAGCAGCAAGTGACCAATCACAATGCAAGTCAGTGCCCCAGCGCTGATGTCAGTCACAAGCGCCAAGCCAATGACTTCTGGACAGGGACGTGCCTGCTGGAGTGATGACGTAGGGTCGCTTTTCAGTGGTCCTCACGCTGGTCTATCTGGGTGTGGAGATCACGGGGCAGAGCGCTGGGGAAGCTCTGAAGATAGCTCATCGGCTACGTGCTTTTGTTGTCTACAGATTTTACATCCTGACCGATACATGGCTCACATCTGCCTTTGTTTATTTCTGATTTTCTCGGGATATGTGATCTTAAGCAGGCAGAGAGTAAGGAAACCAGCAGCCGTGGCTGCGCTCTAGGCAGCAGTGTGCCCTAGGCATCTGCCTAGTTCGCCTAGTGGTATCATCGACCTTGGACACTGTAAAAGCATAAGTACCAACACCAGCCTGAGCAATTTTCTTGCCTGCAATATTGCTTAACATTTTTGCTTAACATTATTATTGTTATTATACAGTGTTTATATAGCGCCAAACAGTTTGCTCAGCGCTGTACAATATAGTGGGGGACAGTACATGAGACAATACAGTAACAAAACAATACACGAGGGGTTCGAGGGCCCTGCTCTTTCGAGCTTAAAATCTAGGAGGGAGAGGATAGTGGTACAGGAGGAAGTGGCTATGGGGGATGGAGTGGTAGGAGGAGTGGAGGAGATCAGCTGTTAGGTGAGGGTGGGGTAGGCTTCCCTGAAGAGATGGGTTTTCAGGGTGCGCCTAAAGGTGAGGAGGGGGTGGCAGATGTGGAGCGGTTGGTAAGGTGGATGAGTCTGGCCGCTGAGTTCGGGATAGACTGAAGCGGGGATAGTCTGTGATGAGGTAGGCCGGTGAGGAGGGAGTTGCAGTAGTCGAGTCGTGAGATAATAAGGGAGTGAATGAGTTGTTTAGTAGTGTCTGGGGTTAGGAACGTACGTATTTTGGAGATGTTGCGGAAGTGGAGCCTGCATGAGTTTGCCAGTAATTGGACATGGAGCTGGAAGGACAGGTTTGAGTCTAGAGTGACACCTAGGACTTTGGCTTGCGGGGTGGGACTGATGGTGGTGTTGTTGGTCGTGATGGGGAGGGTGGGGTGGGGGGCACGGGCTGGGGGGAAAATTAGGAGCTCAGTTTTGGAAAGGTTTAATTTGAGGAAGTGGAGTGACATCCAGTCTGATATGTCGTTCAGTAGGCAGGTGATTCATGCGGAGACTGAGGTGGTGAGGCGAGGGGTAGAGAGGTAGATTTGCGTGTCATCGGCGTAGAGGTGGTAGTTGAAGCCGTGGGAGTGTATCAGTTGGCCAAGGGAGGAGGTGTAGATGGAGAAGAGGAGGGGCCCGAGGACAGAGCCTTGGGGGACCCCAACAGAGAGGGGGAGAGAGGGGGAGGTGGCAGCGTTATAGGTAACGCTGAAGGAGCGTTGGGATAGATAGGAGGAGTGCCAGGAGAGAGCGGAGTCTCTGATGCCAAGGGAGTATAACATGATAATTGTGTTTCATTTTTTAATAGTTCTTTCCAAATCTGCACAATCTGTTAACTGAGTGGTAGACTGTCGGGTGATTAGCATTTGAGAACTTAGGGATATGATCAGCACGAAAGTGAGTTTCTTGAATGACGAGCACGTCTGCTTGCAAGCTTTTCATGTAAGTCAGCGTGAGCGTTTCTCAGGTATATTTAGAACTCCTGCATTAAGCGATGCCACAGAAAGTGTATGATGGCCCCAACCGAGGCGTTCCACGCAGTTCAGCAGGCCGCTACCACGGGTACAAGCCAACCCCAGAATAAGCGAGGTTGTGATAAACCGCTTGAGTGGCATCGTGATTTTGTGGCCTGTTGAGAGTGTGGTCCATAATATTCTATGTACACATATCAGAAACTTGCATAAACATAGACTGAACAGGTAGTATGCATAAAAGTTAGAGAAATCCTATGCCTTAGACATATCTTAACACCTTGACCAAGGGCAGTTAGGAGGTTTGCATTTAAAGATGGCTTGGAACCTGGGTTTCAAAGATAATCACACTATATACTGGGAAGAATGTGAAGGCAGCCAAAATATGAGGAGGAGGGAGATGGTGGGGGGGTCAGGAAGAAAAAGTGTATGAGTGCATGCAGGGGAGAACTGACAACTCATGGGACCCCCGGGCAATAGGGGATCATGGGGCCCCTGTGTCCTTGACCACACTCAAAGCACACCCAAAAAAGCACCAGGGGCATTTCTTGGGGCCCCCTACTGACCCTGGGCCCTCGGGCACTGCCCGAGTGCTCTAATGGTCAGTCTGCCCCTGAGTGCATTGCATATGCAGTTGCAAGAAAAAGTATGTGAACCCCTTGGGATTACGTGGAGTTTTGCATGAATTGGGCATAAAATGTGCTCTGAACGTCATCTAAGTCACAACAATAGAAGAACACAGTCTGCTGAACATAATACTACACAAACATTAGATGTTGCCATGGCTTAATTGCAAATAACAGGTCCCAGGAGACGACAGGGCCATTCACAAAGCGCAGCGCTTCTCGTGCATGCGCAGTGGGCACCCGGCTGTCAAAGCCGGGTGCCCACAGTATAGGAAGGTGAGCTCCGCGGAAGTGTCAAATTCAAGTACCCGCTCCCCCTCCCTCCCTAAAGGTCCGCAGTCTCTGGTCATCTCCGGTACTGTCCGCAGTCTCTGGTCATCCCCTGTACTGTCTGCAGTCTCTGGTCATCCCCTGTACTGTCCGCAGTCTCTGGTCATCCCCTGTACTATCCGCAGTCTCTGGTCATCCCCTGTACTGTCCGCAGTCTCTGTCATCCCCTGTACTGTCCGCAGTCTCTGGTCATCCCCTGTACTGTCCGCAGTCTCTGGTCATCCCCTGTACTGTCCGCAGTCTCTGGTCATCCCCTGTACTGTCCGCAGTCTCTGGTCATCCCCTGTATTGTCCGCAGTCTCTGGTCATCTCCTGTACTGTGTCCACAGTCTCTGGTCCTTCTCCTATATTGTGTCCGCAGTCTTTGGTCATCTCCTGTACTGTCTGCAGTCTATGGTCGTCTCCTGTACTGTGTCTGCAGTCTCTGGTCATCTCCTGTAGTATGTCCGCAGACTTTGGTCATATCCTGTACTATGTCTGCAGTCTCTGGTCATCTCTTGTACTGTCTGCAGTCTCTGGTCATCTCCTGTACTATGTCCGCACTGTCTGGTCATCTCCTGTACTGTGTCTGCAGTCCATTGGTTCAGAATATTTTTTTCTTGTTTTTCTCCTCTAAAACCTAGGGGCGTCTTATGGTCAGGTGCGTCTTATGGAGCGAAAAATACGGCATATCAGAAATAAAACACTATCACAATGGCAGTAAACACCTGGCCGAGCTGTAATAAACACCCAGCTGACCTAAAGCATAAAGTGTGAAAATAAACAAAAACAGTATAAAATGATGTAAAACAAATGCCCGGCCGAGCAATCAGCCCCTCAGTGGAATAAATATGTGATGAATCAAGTAAATGTTCAACTGTCAACTGGGCTGGATATTCCCAAAAAGTGCATATTAAAAAAAAAAAAAGATAAGCAGCTCTACTGAATATACAAAAAACAGATAAATGGTGCATGATAAGTAATAAAAGTGCAATAAGACGTCATCTGTGTTCACCCTGTTTTTCCCTTATATGCCTATATGCTTACAGTATCTATGTATCTATGTGGGTGGCATTTTTTATACATTTTTATGGTAATAAAGCCTTACTACACTATGAGGAGTTCCTTGTTCCTTATCTTTTGAGCACCTATCCATTGCAGTGGTGACGAAAAGGATTGTTCCTGAGAGTCCCTGGAGATACCTGTGGAAGCAACGGATCCAGAGGGATTCATATTAAGCGTATGGTGACCTAAATTTTCTATGGGTCAGCTGTTAAAGTGAGTGTGCATGCCTGAAGGTGGAGGCGCACCATAGATTTGCACACCTGTTAAAGTCACTGGTGCATTACTTTGAATGTTGGAAGAAAGAGACTGTTATATCACTTTTGGACTGCTTTTTTTAACACACTTTTTGTGAATATCCAGCCCAATTGAACATTTACTTGATTCATCACATATTTATTCCACTGCTGGGCTGATTGCTCAGCCGGGCATTTGTTTTACATCATTTTATACTGTTTTTGTTGATTTGCACACTTTATGCTGTGGGTCAGCCAAGTATTTATTACAGCTCGGCCAGGTATTTACTGCCATTGTGATCGTGTTTTATTTCTGATATACATTTCACTGTTCTTGTTGTTTTTTACACTTTATTATTCAGCTCAGTCAGGTGTTTATTATTGCTACTTGATTTTGGTTTAATTTTATATATATTTATATTATATATGTTTCACATATCATTTGGATTTAGTGGCTCAGCCAGTTTTTGATTTTTTATGTACTATTGACATTGTTTCACAGATGTATTCTATTACACATTGGGTTTGATGCTCAGGAGGGTGTTTATTTATTATAAGTGTACTTTTCTTGAGTCACTAGGGGGCAGCGAAGCACTATTCTTGGGGAGTTTTATTGATGTGGGAACACATTTAGGTGCTTGCAGCAGCTTATAATTTATTTATGGCAGCGCATAAGTATTATATCCTTATATTTTTTAACCTATCATGGTACCATGCTTGAATTCACTGAGCTCCTGAGAACGACCCATTCTTTTACAAATGTTTGTAGAATAAGTCTGCATGCCTAGGTGCTTGATTTTATGCACCTATGGCCATGGTGGTGATTGGAAAACTGAATCCAATGATTTAGAATTCCCAATACTTTTGACATTATAGTATAGCTTATGGACAAGTAATCCTGTGGTTTGAGGGCCAGAAATGTTAATACCAACATGCACTTCCACATTGAAGGGATGTTTAAAAGGGAGCTTCCAAAACAGACACAGTTCTTACAAAACAATGGTGTCTGATGTTAACAGGAAAAGGGGTCCTCTAGCATGCTCATTACACATGAAGGTCAGGTGGCCTCGAGGAAGCCTCATGATCTTGTAATTGTATTCAGAGGCTCATAAAGTAAGTATAGTGATATTAATCCCCAAAACAAAATCATACTATATTGCAGCCTACCAATTCTTAAATGTTATTTGTGCATCAGTGTTCTTTTTTAAGCTTTTTTCCCCCTGTGTTTTCACCCAGTAATCTGGCCAGCAAATCTGTTATTTTTAAACTTCCTTTAACCACTTTCCGGGTGCCCTAAAGCAGATTTACTGCTACAGGGCAGATGTTCTGTGCAAAATTACGTATATAAATGTTATTTTGCGCTTACATCATAGGGGGTGCGTGGAGCACCGTTTCTGCTGTGATTAACCACCAGGTGCCAGCCAATGAATGAACACCGGCACCCACTGATCAACAAAGAGAGTGAGAGGACACAGCTCTGATTTATTAGATTTTCTTTCCCTGCAAAGCAGGGAATAAAATCTAGCAGATTGCCTAGTATAAACACCTAACACAGTACACAAAACACATAGTGAGGCACACAGTTAACCCTTTGATTGACCTAGATGTGTAAACCCTTCCCAGCCACTGTCGCTAATACAGTAAGAGTGTATATTTTTAGCACTGTTTACTGTATTAGCGTTACTGGTTCACCCAAAGTGTCAGTTAGTGTCAGACTGTCTGCTGCAATATCACAGTCCTGCTATAAGTTGTTTGTTCGCCGCCATTACTAGTATAAAAAAAAATTCCAGTATGCATACCGTAATTTGTAGGCGCTATAAAGTTTGCACAAGGAAATCAATATTACGCTTATTTAGATTTTTTTTTACCAAAAATATGTGTCAGAATATATTTTGGCCTAAATTTATGACAAAATTTGATGTTTTTAATTTTTTTTTAATTTATAGCATAAAGTAAAAAATATAGGGTTTTTTATTAATTCGGTCTTTTTTTTTCGTTTATAGCGTAAAAAAAAAAATAAAAACCCAGTAATGATCAAATACCACCAAAAGAAAGTTCTATTTGTGGGGAAAAATTATAAAATTTAATTTATGTACAGTGTTTGCATTGCCAAAAAGTTGTCAGTTAAAGTAATGCAGCTCTGTATAGCAGAATTGGCCTGGTCAGGAAGAGGGGTAAATCTTCCGGAGGTCAAGTGGACCCAACTGTCTAGCAAAAGTGGCAGTTACAGGGTTGAAGCAAATCATTTCATACCATGCTTAGAATGGTCATGTTTATTCATTTATGTAAAAACTTTATCCTACAAAAAAAAAATTATTGTGTCTGTGGTTACTTAAGATTAAAGAATTCCAGGTATGGCATTTTTTGCATAGTTGCATTGGTCCAGCCATTTAGAGATCACTTTGCATTTTCTGAATGAAGATGGAGAGCCAGGGCTGTGATGTCACACTCTCCGCTTTGTTCAATCAGAGAACACTTTGCATTCTTTGAGAAAATGCAAAGTGATCTCTTAATGGAACCCGTGTAGGAAGATGCAGTCTGTTTTCTCCACTGCAGGTGGCGTTCCTCTAGAGCAGTACTGCAGCTGGGAAGGAAGTCAAAAGAAACTTGGCTTCTCTATGGTTTCCTCAGTCCCCTGGAGCAGTGTTCCAGTTGGTTATGCTGCATCCAGGTGACCCTGGTGGCCATCTTGGGTCAAGCAGAATCTTTTTAAGTCCTTGCTCCCAGGGTTTGGCACGCATTTTGCAAAGTGGATAGGTTAGGGAGAGCATACCTGCCTGTCAGGAACAGCACTAGCATTAGAGAGAGGTTCTGGAGGAGTAGGGATATTGTAAGACTTATGTTTACACCTCCACAAGCTCCCTCTTGGTTTTGCCTGGCCAAGTCACACTCCACCCTCCTCGCCAAGAGCTGTCTGCAGCTTGAGTCTACTGCCACTGACTGCTGCATTGATTGTGAGTTACGATATGGGTGACCTCTGCACGGGTTGTTGTACTTATTTGCAAGTTCTTTAATACAGTGGTTTCTGCATTCAGGGCCTCAGTGTGATTACTGCCACCGTACCATGCTGCACTAACCTCCTGTGTTCAGAAAGCAGAAGGGCAGCGTTCATGCTCAGCGAGATTGCCAACCTCTAGATGGATCCTGCAGGTATGGTATATGCAATCTGGACCAATGTAACTCTGAATTATTCTTTAAAATGTTGCCATATCACATGCACACACAATTATAAGGCTTGACATATTTGGTGTCTAATTTTAATAGAATAGTTATTTGTGAGCCACCAGGAGTTAACTTACTCTATTATTAGTGTTAATTGTGTGCTTAAGTGAATATTTATTAAATATTGGATCGCCAGGCACTAATTACACCCTCTCTAGGTGTATGAAATTAAACTATGAATTCTTATACTGTACCGCGCTCCAATATTATCAACCTTTTGTGATTAACCTTTTTTGGTTGTGTGAATTTCTTAATATACCACCTATAATCCAATCATTACTTACTTCTATGGTGCTTAAATATACAATTAACATAAATTAATTTATAAATATGAATTAAAAAATTATATGTGATTATAACAAATATTAATAAAAAATTAATGAAAAATTGGAATGTCAATACTATGTGAATAAAATAATAAAAAATTAATAAAACATAAAAAAAAAAAAAAAAAAAAAAAAAAAAAGGGAATGTCAATTATTTTCTTTAAATTTGAGATGGTGTTGTTATTCAATTTAGTTAATGTGATAAGTCTGTGTTGGCAGCTTGAACCTCTCCCTTGTCTCCTCTCCTCTCTCCTCAGCTCAGCTTTCTCAATTGTGCTTTCTTCACTGGCTGCTTTGTTTATTCCTCCATATACGGAACATGCAGAGAAGGGAAAAGAAACATAGTGTCTTATCCGGGATATAAGTGATTTATTGCTCTTTGATCTCCCACTCACATTGTGTAAATGTAAATAACGCTTTGCATACAATGTATCAAGATCGTACTTCAGACAGCCTGGCTGATGTGTTTGCTTGCAGTAAATATACTCGCCCGGTCCTCTGTGGATGCGTGATAACGTCACCGCCCCTCCCCTACGCGTTACGCTACAGGGACTCGTAGCTTCCTCTGGGGGATAGTTAACAAATCACAGCAAAAATGGAGCCGGCAGGATATAAATAGCCTCTGTG